ATCTCTATCATTATTGGTATCTTCATTGCGACTTGACTTTTTTTTTAGTCTGGGAATTAAATTTTCATTTCATCAAACGAAAGATCGTCATCAAAACTTGACAACCTGGGTCAAGTTAAGGTCGCACGGCAAATTTCAGCGTTTCATATTGAATCTGATTTTATCTACATAAGTATAGCGGTCATGCATGGTCATCGAAATTTTCTATTAGTCAACCGAGTTTTCCTGGGAAAAACATATTTAGGTAAATAAATCCTCTTGGTATAGCTTACAAACAAAAACAAAAAAAAAAAACGTGAAGAAAAGTTTATTAAATTTTTGACAACCACGTATTTTTCAGAATAGGGTCTTTTGAACGAGTTAAAGTGACGAAAAAAGTTTCGATGAGTTTCTATTAAACCTGCATTAAGTACATATAAAGGTTTGCCATTTGCAGGTACTTCGTCTTCCTGATAAGGTTTTAATGTTGATTAGAAACCTTGCATGGTCTTAGCGAAACGTCAATACAACACCTCATGTCCAATTGGTACAGATGCAGATGGGATACAGTTAAAAAAAGTGCTTTTGAAAGAGGGGGAAAGATTTGGATCTAGTGGGCGAACATAACTGCACACGGAAACGTCTTACGCGTTTTTTTCGTTTTCTTTTTTTTTTGTTCTGAATGGATTCCTTTCCATTTTCTAATTTTAAAACGCTCTTACGGGCTAGCTCTTTGTGCTAAGCTCTAACGACATTTTCGCCCAATTGTGCAAAAAACTTGGTAATAATTTCTGCCTCTCCAGCTCAACATTTAAACATTTTGGATAATCTATGCATGATTTATACTGAGCCTTTCTATTCTTGTAGAAAAACAAGAAAAACAGGAAGCGTTTGTGCTAAATACGATTTGAGAGTCATTTGAGGAGTTTGTGTACATGTCCCCTTCTCTCTTTGGTGAATAGTCGAGAGTATCTAAGGTTTTTCAATTTGGTTTTCTATTTCTGCTTTGATCAAACTGATCCAATTCATCTTGAACTTGAACATGACAATTTAAGGATGGCTTCAGGGAAAAATCAAATAATCCTATTATATAATATACTGAAGCTTAGTAGCAGAAAGGGATTTTAGGCAGTTTGTGAGGCTTAATCATATTCCCTCAACAACTAGTTTTCTTCATGTGGAACGATTTACTGTTTGAAACTGCTGATTTTCTGTCTTGCGGCAGGAAAAATGTAGTTTCCACAGTGTACAAAAGCTTTCGTGATCAATCAAAACTGACTGTCCGTTTCTCACCAAAAAGACAGCAATATTCTGGGTTTCAGATGAAAATCTCGTTTCCGCCAAATTTCAGTACTTAATGTCACGGAAAAAAGTGGGCAGAGGACGGTCAAATAGAGAGATGCCATCGATAAATGCAGTAGTGATTCAGTATTACCTTGGAATATTGCTTGTAATATTAAAATGTGACCTAAAGTCCAAGACGATAAGAAACGTTTTATATTAACCAAGGATCGATGTGACCAAAATTTCATCTCCGGTGGCGAAGAGAAACCTCTCTGATGTGATAACTGTCAATTTCAAGAATTAGTGATAATTTTTACGCTCGAACGTAAAGAAACAAGAACGGCTAGAATTATTTTTATCGTTCTCGCGACTTCCTACTTTTTGGACGAAAAAGCTTAACTTTTAGTGATAGTTGGGAACTAAAATGATGAATTCATGAAAAGAATATTAGGCCAGCTGTAGGCTGAGCATAAAAAATAGTGTAAAATCAGGGACCAACATCACAATGACTAGCGCGTTAAGTCTGTTCTACAAGATGGAAACTTAGCGTTTTAAAATGCTTCTTGTTTATTTTTCAAAACACTATACCGTGCGGCTCTAGTTTCATTTTTTAAAGATAACAACAAATTCGACATACAACATCATTTTTGGGGGCTTTATATACTGTCTGCTCCTCTGTGATGTTTTTTTTTCATATGTTTATCATTTATTTAATTCTCTGTATCGCTCAAAGCGCAGTGGCTATATTGTATTTCGAGATGCCACAGTGAAGATCAAAACTGTATAAGGTGATCTGTCGAAGTGGAAACTGAATGGAATATCATACTTAGGAACGATCGATAAGACACTGAACGCAATCTGTTCGCAGTCCTACCGGTTTCGAAGTTATTGTAAATGTGGAATTACAGCTGGATAAAACTCATATCAAAACGTGTATAAAAGCAACGATTATTTTACAAAATCTCAAATCCCTATTACAAATCATTGTATTCCTATAGAAACAAAACAGCTTTCAAAAAAAAATAGATTTCCCTGTAGAGAGTGTGAAATGCTTGGAAATGATATTTAAAATGAAGAGTAGACAGAAGTTGTTTTACTTATTCTTCTCTGGTGGATTACCATGTGTAACTTGAATTAAATTTGCTATACAACGCACTGACGTCACAATTTCCTTTTGGAGCCTGGGTAACAAGTATTACTGAGACCATTTTCACGTTGCATGATTACGAAAACTTCTGACTCCCTTAACTTCTAAAACTAAATCTAACTATAAGTATGAATATGTTGAGGCAGTGCAACCCTTTTTTTGCATAGAATTTTGCTGTTGTGGCTTTTGCCATTGTGACTGTTGCCACTGTATTCTATCAAAAAGAAGCTTGGTATTCACCGAATGTTTTGGAAGTGAAGAAAAGAGTTGTGGGATTCGGATAAATCAGTGCTGATGTTTTACTATTGTAGTCGATACCTCGCTCATAATACTAGCAAGTACCACTCAGTATCCAAAGAAATAACCTCAGAAGTGACTAAGGGGCTCGTCTGAACGCTAGTGGTTACTTGTTCGGGTAGTTACAAAATATCATTAATATTTTCCATAGTTTCAAGGCTATTAACTGCTTTGTTTTTCTTTGGTTTTTATTCCCCTGTAGATCAATTTTGTGGAGAGAAAGTTTGTAATACCGTCGAAGTTCCATTTGGAAAGAAATTAGAATTCCTCTTTCCAAATCTTCATATACATAAGCATTCATCAACTTGAAGCACATGTTGAATAGTACAGACGAGTTATATGGTTCTAAACGGTGATAAGATGCCATAAGAAATCCCATATCCCTATACTAGTTTTTTTTGGCTTCTCGAGACATGAACTTGGGGGTCGAAAAAAAAAAGAAAAAAAAAAAAGACCTCCAAATTCATAAAACTCTTGGTTTCATTTATTGTTATCTCTGAATATCAGCCATTATATTCGATTACTACTTTGCGAATCCACATGCTGATTACGCAAAAAACTGTCGTCTTTTTTTTTGTAACTCAGGAAATCGTATGCACTGAAATAACATAAACAAAAGCTTGTTGAAGGGGGTAATAAATTTTGTGTTTATCCTCTGATCTACATGAGTTACTGTCCCTCGCGGGTAGAAAATAATTGGTAATGCTTTGTCTCACTTATAGTGCATTTCAAGTACATTATTAAGATAACATGTCTGTACAATTGTTTTTGTGTACAAGACTATGTCCATTGTTAAGAAAGGTAACTTTAATGGGCATTTTAGGAAGCGCTGAAACTGGAAAAAAGGCAATTGAGATCCTGGAGTCATTTTTTTATTTCTAACATTGGACCATATTTTAAAGCTATAGCTGACGGTGATTTTTTTCAATTTACTTTCGTTTAGCCCTGCTTAAGTTTCGCAGCGAGACAAGTCGGAGGCTATGATAATTTCAACTTGATTTATTCAATTTTCAGATAATTTAGTTTTTATAGTGGGATTCGGTACCATCATGTCTAAATAATTATAATCCTTAAGCTCAATCATATAACTTTCGTGAAAAAATTTATTCAGGACCAGAAAAAGCCATCTTTACCCAAAGACAGAAGCTGTCCGTTATTCCTTAAAGCATGTTAAGGTGTAGATTGAAAAACGGACTTCTCTACCTTTAATTTTCCCCGCAGGAAGCCAAATAAATCATAATGAAATATATATATAAATATATATTTTCGAGTGGTATCTTTTTCGAAATGAAAATGTTTGGATTTTGGGCAAATATTGCGCAAAGCTTTTGGGATCATATCTGCCGAGGCAGACATGGACACTAAAATTTAGTTACATTCTTTCTGATTTCTCTGTCCCGGACAGAATCGAAACAGTGGTATTTTCTAAAACTCAATACTGACTAGCGGATTTCAGTTTCTTTATTTTCTTTCTTGTGCTAAAATGCGTTGTGGGTGCATTGACAATAAAAAGTATTGTTCAAAACATTGTATTCCCTCTAACAATTTCTTAATAAAAAAGGGATTGACTATATCAACAGCGTGATCATTGTTCAATCGAAAAATTCTGCAGAGTCAAGCCCTGATGAAATGATACATTGAGGGAGCCATTGCTATAACAATTAAAATAAATGAGTGATCAAGAGTATTTGCTAAATGAAGTCCACAATGCGCATAAAAAACCACCAAAGCACTTAGGGCTGACTCAGATCGTATGGAGTGTAAATATCGTTTTAATTTCCCCAAACGGAAGGCGTAGTGCAGATGGACGCAACAAATATAGAGATAATAAACTTTCATTTAGATCAATTTCGAACAGTTAGCTTTCTTCGGGAGATAAAATCAGTGGTTAAATCACAACGCTCCCTTGGGGATGAACTCGTCTGATACCGCTGTTGATAGGTTGAAACTAAACTGAATAACGACTTCTTCCAACAAATGAACTGTACGTAGAAAAATTAATGCTACAGGAATGTTGACAGGGATCTGCCCTTGAGATGTAAGGTTTCCAGTGCGATAATACCGCAGTGCTAATAAAATTTAGAGCAATAAAATGATTAATTTCTGACTGCGAGTGAGGAAGTGGAAAAGGAAGTAAAGATGAGATTAAGAATAAGTCCTATTAAATGGACCATTTTTGTATAAACGTAAGTTGGTGTATACGTGGTTGATTTCATTATCTTTAAAATCTGGTGTTTTCAATTTTCACGGCGCGAATTCCGGCTGGCGAGTGTCTAATTTCATTATAAAACCGATGCCTCTCGTTAGAAGCTTTACACATTCGTTTGAACTAAAACCTCTCGCATAGAGCTCTACTCCTTCGTATTCTGTAAGAACATATTGTTTAAGATGAATTCCAAAGTGCTCATGTCGTTCCTCGTTGTTGCCCTGATTTCGTCGTTGTTTTGTCATCAAAGCCATGCGTTTAATATCGGAATGGGAGGCATAAACGGAAAACGACAGTTTGGAAGCTGTGTAGAGGTACCGAATCATTCCTAATAATCTGAATTCTTCAAAAAGCAGCGGTTTGCGTTGTAATTTGAACAATTTTCAGTTTTTATTGTTTATTACTGTACATATTGAGAAATTTCAAGGAATAATTTAGAAATTTAAACCACATCTCGATCGGCTCGACGTATATCCTTTGTCGTCAATTTTTAGCCTAGTCAAATCTCATCACCCCGGCAAAGTTTCATTACATGGACGATTTATGTTCTTGGTAGTTTTTTTGACCCAAAAAGGACGAAAAATGTTGTAGCACGATATGAGCTAGAATTTTTTTTTCATAAACGCATAAACGCCATGAACTCAAGATTTTTGGCAAAGTTGTTATTGTAGTGAAGTGGCTAAGAAAAAAGGCCGGTAAATAGGAAAAGTTGAAATTCTTCCCGCTTGCGTTGAACCTCTTGAACATTAAAACGAAAGTATTTGCAAGTAACAGTGATTGGAAACAGAGTTCATTTTTATCGATACTGTTTGCCATAAACGCCACGAATTTATAGTCACTAATAGCTTATACATTGTACCACGCTCTTATTTACTGTCAATATGTTAAAATAGATTATTTTTTAGGCAATTAAAATAAGCTTAGACCGGGTTAAATTTTTGAAAACGAGTTTTAAGACTTTTTTTTTCTTCACTCGAGAAATACATGAAAACGTTTAATTCCATTGGTTTATTTTTTACATCCAGTAAACATTGTATGACTTTTAAAGGGCAAATAGACCTGTACATATGATTCGCTCGAGGGATTTCGGTTGTGTACAAAGAAAACCTCTCGAAGGGAATAGAGACTGCAATGTATGAAAATGTTCATAGTTTCAGTGGTTGTCTGGTTTACTAGTTACTAGTTACCAGTTACTAGTTACCCAACTAAATCATTGCATAGATTCACAGACTGAAGAAGTACTCGAGGAACACGTTTTATTGTTAGGCTATTTCAAACTCAAGTGCTATACGCTATTTCGTATCCGGTACCTTTCAGACACTCAACGCCAAATTATGGTTAATTAATTTCATTTCGTCAGCTCTCTTTTCTATTTCATTTCTAGACCGCAAATCGACTTCAGCATTTGTGCTCCATGGCTGAGACTGTCTGCCCACAAGCTACAAAGCGGGAAGAAAATGGGGAGCATTAGTGTAATTGTACTGGAAACTAATCAACGCTCGACTTGCAAACACGCTGATTTCTTACTTGTAACTATTGACAGAACTAAATGTTTACTGCCGTGTAGAGGAAAAAAAGCTTCAAATGAATCTTGTTTCAAACCTCTTAGCATTAAAATACTACTTGTTTGCATAGAATAAAGAAATTGATGATAGAATTAAATAAAGCGATGAATCAAATTCAAATATGATGATTCAGTGTGATAAACTTACTTGTGTTCTTAATCACAGTGTTGAAACTTTTTATTTGAAAGTAGAAAACCAGCTACCTCAACGCTTTTGGGGCAATTATCGATCACCTCCTTTATCAATTTCATATCTATTGATAATTTGTTTTCCTCACCCTGAGGAAAGGTTTAACTCTTTGAGCAGAATAATTTTTACATAAAAATTAGTATCTCGCATTGCAATTACTTCAGATTTGGAATTCCTGGTCCTTTTGCCAACTTTTAGACAAGATATAGTATAGCTACTCATTAAAGTTTTAGAAATCATAACATGAAAATTCAAGTACTGTAAAGTGGTTAATTGTTAGCAGTGTTTAATTTTCGCTATTTTCGCGCAATGGGACTTTGCGCGAAATTTAAACACCGCGAGGTCGGAGTTGGCCGGCCGCCATCTTGAATTTATACTGTGTGACACCCAAATCCAATAAACGCAGAATTATTTACTACAAGACAACATTTTTTGCACAAATCAAACCTAAAAAATATTATTTACATTGAAAGATGATACTGCATATTGTAATAAATGTAAATACCATTACGAATGCAATAAATAACTATCACGAGTCCACAATTTAAAATTGTAATAAAGGTGTCAAGCAGATGGAGAAAAAGCACTGTACGAAAATATGAGAGTTCAGGACAACGAATGTACGTAAATAGAAAATTAAATGTCGGCAGACATGTGGTTTATGGCGGTCGATCAACAACGCACTATCACGATGTCTTTCAAAGAATTCTTACTTAATTAAAACAGTCCAAAATACCATCGATGAGTAGCTCAGGTCGCCTGGATAACTCTTGATCAGCGGTAACCATCCATTTAGTATGCAGTGGTTTGAGTTCGGCAAGACGGATGTCCAGTGTTGGGTCTTCAGCGCCTTCATTCATTGCGGAGTACACACGATCGCCGTACCAGTGTTGATATTCCCGCTTCATTTCATCTTTAAAGATCTTGTTACCAGATAAATCCAAGGGCTGAAGACGATCAGTACAGCAAGCGGGTACAAAGACGACGGAGATGTTATGGTCTTCCGAGAATCATAATGGCGACTGCTTGCTGGGTGACTGGAAGTTGTAGCCTTGCCCTGGTTTCGATGACGTGCGGGATGATAACTTTGTCGATATATCGCATCGTGGATTATTCGTCGGACCAGTGACTCTCGCCATTGGAGATCGCGTACTTGGCGATTTTAGCTCTGTTGACTTCATCGTAATTCCCGTAATTTCCACGTATTCTTTTCCGGCTAAGAACAGCAATCTCCTCGTTGACACTGGCGATAGCCTCTGCTGGAACGTTGCACTGCACCACATCATCAACGTTGTTTGGATCGGGTAAACCCGGGACACTTAGTGACGGCAAAGGTGCCTTTTTTTAACCACGATACGGAAGGGAAGACATATGAACTGATGATGAGCAGCGCCTGCGAAAGTGAGAATCACGCAATGGCATCACTACTCTCAACTCTTTCACACGTCTTTCAAAGCCTTGGCACACTATTATAACAATAAATAATGCTTTTGGGTCTCATTTTCACGTCTTTATTTATGGAAAAATTAGAACAATGAAACAAAGGAAACCGCGAAATTAAAATACCACTAAAAACGCTGAAACTTTACAGTATATATGAACATCAAGATTTATAACGATATCATATTCACAGAAAGTTTGAACTATGATATAGAATTGTACGGATTAGTAACGCTAAAAATGTATTTGGCCTTGCAGTGACAATCAAGACACACAATGGTGGATGAACATTAAAATGCTCTAGAGTAAAGGAAATATCAATCACCCACTTTACATCGCGCGCCTAGTGTTGTTATCCGGGAACTTTTAGACACTAAACTCGCTTAAATAATTCTTCCCTTATTTGGGAATCAATGCTGGTAGATAGTCAGAGGCCAAATGGTCATGGTGAGAACGAAATCTCCCATTAGGAAATTTTTAAAAATCACCCAAATTTTTCTGACTTTCCAATAATAATTTTAATAATAAAGGCTGAGTAACAAAACAAAACACATTTTCGAGAAGCTGCGTATGCTAACACGTAATACCTATGTAATAGTACTGTAATATTAAGCGTGTCTTGATATTTGGCTCTAGGTAACTGTAATGAACAAAGTCTCGGTTAAACATAAACATAAACATACTTTATTTATTCCGGAAGCAGACTACGTATACACTAAGAGGAAAGGGAAAATATGCTTCCAGAAAAGGAAGTTAAGAGGTTATCCCTATGTGAAAACTCCCTAAAAAATAAGTCTAAATGAAAATAAAATACTTAGTTATAATTAAATATTTAAGTACAATTTAAGTTGAGATTTAAAATGCTGAAGATTATCAGCTTCCACTGTGTTTCTTGGTAATTCATTCCATAATTTAACAATCCTAATGAAAAACGAATGTTTATAACAATTAAGTCTTGCTGGTTTGACGTAAAGTTTGTACTGATGATTTGCTCTCGTACATCTAGTTGTAACGAAATCAAAAAAGTCTCCAATTTGGTAAAAACCAAAAACAATTGTATAACACTCAAATAAAGATAGAAAAGTTCTACGGTCGGAAAGAGTAGGCCATTTTAGCACTTTGCATCGGTCTTCGTAGGACATGTCTCCTTTGCGTTGATTTAAAGCAAGTCTTGAAGCTCTTCGATGTACATTCTCAAGAGCATGGATGTCCTTGACGAGGTAAGGACACCAGACAGGTACCACGTATTCCAAAATTGGCTGTACAAGAGATTTGTAGAGCACAGAAAAAATATTTGCATTAGCGGTGCCTATCGAGCGTTTAATAGAACCTAGGACTTTATTCACTTTGTTTACAGTTATACCAATGTGGTTGACTCCAAGAGAGGTCCTTAGTTATTAGAACACCGAGATCTTTAAATTTATCTTACGTCGGTTGATTATTTTAACAAATTACTCAGTTACCCATTTTATCAATTTCTTAGCACTAAAGTTCATAGATTTTAAGCTTGCTGTCGAACTTCAGAATTTATCCAAGCCTACAATTCACGAGAGTTTTTCAAAATACATTCAATTACCATGCAGAAGAATTTTTAGCTACCATTGCAATAATTTTATATCACCTTACGAACATAATGATATATAACGAATCATTGGTTTTAAGGAGTTTCAGGAAACTATAAGAAATGCAAGAATCTTATAAGTAAAAGTCAATTGAAAAATTACAATAAACGGATGCGGCGTTGTTTGATTTCTTTGAATTGTGTCAATAGAAAATGATTATGTTGTGCAACCTTTGTCCTTCCTGCGTTTTTATTAGTTTCCCAACGGCCGCCTGGGTACAGAGCAGTTTATTACAATATACTACTGGAATACTAGTTACTACAAACAAGCATCGAGCCGGGTAAGTTTGGGGCTTGTGAGTTAAGGAAAAGGTGAAGAAACAGATTTTAAAAAATATAATCCTGAATTAAACATATTCTATTATTAAACTTCTTAGAACTTTCTTCCGAAAAACGCTCATTTCATCGATTTTATTCATGCATCAATTCTATTGATAGAACTACTTTCCTCAAGTTAATTTGGCATCTGCGGCATAACTGCTTGAGGGGAAGTGGACTAAATTTGATCCATAAAATAACCGCAGATGTACAGTTTCTAATTTGATGGAATATCGATCCTTTTACAAAGAGTTAGCCTAGTTATATTTTGTCTGAGTTTCCAATCGAGTGGGTTTTCAAAGAATTTTGTTGTTTTATAATGAGGTACACAGGAGGAAGTAGTCAAAATAGCAAAAGCGAAACTCAACATTCAGCTTTCAGCCTCTTTTCTTCTCGTGAATTCACTCCCGTTTTTAATTTATGCTTACGTTCCCGCCCTGACTGGTCATTGCAGTGCCAACCTCAGAATAGACCGTCATAATTCCCATCATCGTGCACAAAGACTTAATAAGTATCTCATTAAAATGCAAACATTACCTATTTGGACTGTGTTCTACATCGTACGATCTGCTAAGAGCAAATTATAAAATAAGCTGTATTTGCGCCAAACTTTTTTTGCCGACCTTCACGACAAAGGAGAGTTTGGAAATCTGTTCTTAAAATAATGTCTTTAAAGCAACTAACAACTGAATTTCAAATTACTCCGTTTTTGTTTTCCACGTGCGTCAGTCATTTGAGGCCGTTTTGTGTGACTTGATATACCGTTACCTAACCCTTCAGACTCATGGAGTAATCTAACAGATATCTCGCCAACGTCTTCTTTTTTAACCAGACAGCAAGATCAGGATTTTAATATCTTCTAACTAACGGTTAAGAGTGCAGGCCTGAATTTAAAAAGGAAATATGATGGGTCTATAACTCACTCCACAAACTTAGTTATTTAGACTGTACTTCGCAGGACCACTGCGATTGATGGTTTTGCTTTCTCTTAGTTTTATTTAACTGAACAGCAGTTTTTCATTGTCTGTGCATTGTTCTCCATAGGGTTTCTCTTCATCATGCAGATATGCAGATAGGGGCGGATACTAGAGAGGTACTGGGAATGAGCCTCTGGAAGACGTCGGCAAATGCAGAAAATTCGACCGACAGGATAAGCCCTCCGGTACAACTATGCCATAGATATCAGTATGATATCTATGGAAGACATGATTATAGTCACCGCGTGGTCCCATATCGTCTTCACCTTGATCTTGTACTAATTTTCGTTTCATAATTAACGAGAACTGAGGTCATTGATGAACACCAATTTATTTTTGAAAGCTGTAAGCTATTTTCAACAAGAAGGAGACGCCTCTTGTTGTCTCTCACATACGATGCGACGTTTTGTATATTTTTCAGTTGTGTTTGTCGACTTCTGAAGACCAAGCGAAAGTAAATTCCATATTTCTTCCGGATAAAGCCCTTTTTGTCGAACGCAAATCTGGATGCAGTTCATAGGGTTTTCCTAGTTCATATAGTGTTCGTTAATCAGTAATAAGTACCTCAGGAAAGCGTCGTGCATCAACCACAACTTGCACTTCTTTAATAGTATATATGGAGTAAATTTAGGGAACTGTACCGGCTGTATCAGAAACCAATTGCAATATGTCAAGATTCTTTTGGGTTTTTTCTCAATTCCTTTCTGATTTTGTTATTGCACGTTTTCGTCGAATGATCGACTTCTCCATTTTTCGTTGTCAAAGTTAGTCAATTATGTAGCTTTCAACTGATTTACTTTGCAAGCGTAAAAAAAATAAGGAAACTCCATTATTGGAAACATACTAGCTCTGTGGGACGTGTATCCATCATCAAACACACCGGCTACGGTGTTTTCAGGAAATTCAACCCTGGCTAACTACAGCAAACAAAGACTGTCTCTCCCACATCTGAAAATTTTCAACGAAAACTTCTGAATTGAATTCTGCCATTGAGCACCTGCGGGTAGCCTAGAACACTTTTAAATTATGTGATCATTACATTGCAATTACTAAAACGAACAGATAAAGCCTCGATAGTCGGTCAACCGCAATTTGTACTCAACTCACTTTGTTTACCTATGGAGAATTCTCGATGTTTCATTATTCATTATTCTATTCTGAAAATAAGATCCTGGATCAAAGACTAGAATTTGAACTTTCAGTTTGTACTTTGCATGAGCAAAAGCTTTTTAAATATTTATGGCAATTTTGCTGCCAACAATTACGTTTTAAAGAATTTGACTGATGTTTTTATTTGATGTTTTGTCAAAGTTTGTATAATGAAAAATCAGCTTTTTAGATTAACAACCAAAGTCCAAATTTAATGATGTAAAATAAGGTAGTCTCTTTAATGTTATTTTTTTCAGACAAAAAATGGCATTAAAAGTTTAGGATATGATGTACTTAGTTAATCCAGTAGTTGATATTTGACGTGAAATAATCTCACGTATTTTATCGCGTTTAAAGCCCGCATGATAATTACATTTTTGAAGAAATCCAATTATCAATGTTTTTATCATTTGTGGAGGTAAATTAAATAGAAAAACAAAAATAAAAGGAAATTTAGACCAACCTGCATTACCTGTGTTAATAAACATTACGAAGTCCCATTTTCTTCGGTCAGTCACCGTTTTCAAAATAAAAATCAAACAAAGACAGAACAAGCGTCGCTTTTACGAAAGTCGCGTCCCACCGCGCCGAGCTTTGTCAGCTCTAAATGAAAAAGTATGCCGAAACAAGGAAAAATAAGGAAGATTATTTCATTCCTTTTTTTTTTGTAATCAAATAAAAAAAAAAACAGCAAATTATTTATATTGTGCATGGGGGAAAATCTTATATCGTATGCAGAAGTTTCTTGCAGCTCAATATATATCTCTCTCCTTCAAATGGACTCGCTTTTCCGTTTACAGAGGGTGTCACTTGGCTCCACCAGCTACCAAAGTTGTACCCAATCTAGAGTCTAACGTATTTCATGATTTTCATACGAATATATAAGCTCAAACAAGTTTTACATTCATATCGTCACGAGGAATTTATTTAGGGGTGAAGTCATGATCTTAGTGGGATGCCGGATAATCTAATGCGGATCGATATGCTAGACTCTAATCTTTCCCCCCGCATCAAATATTGGTGTAGAATGTGGTAAAAGTTCCCTGTTGCTTATTGATATTTTTCTATTTCCCCAAATTTTTTTTCCAGACAGCCAGGCTCATCATTGTTGGCGAAGACAAACGTTGTTGGTAAATCTACACCAGGGTATTTTTGTGCCAGTTCTTCTTTATGAAATTAAGCTATGTTTGTGGAATGCCTTGCGACCTTTTTTTGACTCATTTACCTCCGTTGGCCTCATCTCCAAAATTCTTAATTTGTCTCGCAAAGTATTGTTTTACAATCATATCTATTCAAATTTGATAATTAGAAAGCTGAAGATAGCAGACTTAATGGAACCGTAACGACAACATCAAGCGGAAATGAGCGCAGTTGAGTACAGAAATTTGTATTTAAAGACGACTACAACCTTGTTAGAGACTTAAATCGCAATAGGACTGTTCGCACCTTACAACATAAGTGTTACTACATCCTTCCTCTTCGCTTGTACCATGTGTTCCAAGAGGTTTCTGTTTACAATTCTTTTTCTTGTGACTATCCTTACAAGTCAGTGTGAAGCGTTTACGGCTGGCGCAGGAGGCTATAACGGTAAAAGATCGAAAATAGGAATGCAGGTATGTTATAGAATCTAACGCATTTGCTTGGTCAAACTAAAGTTTAAGAAACAAATCCCAAAACTTCACATAGCGTATTTTCCTTAGTCTATCCATAGTCTTCAGTAAAGCCAGCGAAATTCTTGCTACGGTGGATTAAAACTCCTACACAATCTTGTATTACTGATGATAATAGCGCCATCTTTCTTAAAAACTTATTAATTCTTTTACGCGAGAAAAACTAGACATAACATCAGATCAGGACTTTGGAAAAAGTTTCTATTATTTAACAAACTAAGTAAATATAAAACACTCCAGGCTGTTTCAATAAGTGTAAATTGGACAGTGATATATATGATTTTGTTTCCTACTTAGAAAATGTATCCTGAAGCTAATGCATTTTTGATTAGGCTCGATTCAGGAAGTTGGCCCCTCTATTCAGTTTTTACTTTACATTCCTATATTTTGTCTGGTAGAGTTTGTGACAAGTTGATGTTTTGGCCCAAAATTAAGAATTATCTCTAGAACTCGTGACACGATGAAAAATTGCTGTGCACGCCTTGTGTTCCTATATATAGTCCTGGAAAAACGAGGATACGTAAAATATCGACCTACTGTTCATCACGGAGATGTGATAGGAATCTGTGATGAAGATAATTACAGTAGTGGGAGAACAAAGTTTCTCTTTTGATTTTAATCACAAAAAAAGAAGATAGTAGGTAAACCTTTTAGCGAGGTGGTGACGTACCCCTCCCACTCTATGATGTGTTCAGATCGACGACGAAGTGAGAGCGAGATTCCACAAAAGCGAAGAAGCTGTTAATGTCTATGCCAAAAACATCATGTACTATAAGGGACTTCCATACCTTTAAAAGCCAGATCGCAAAATGCCAAAAATAATTGCAAACCAATCTTGACTGGAGATTTTAGCGAAAACTGGGAAAGTTGCCTATGGCTCTAGAAGACGCTGATGTTACATTTGCAAACGTTTCTAAAAATTGTTCCAACACTTTGGAGCTAATAAGTCAAAAGATTTACTAATTTCGCGAGCACTTCAACTGAAACACTATCCCCGGAATCATGTATACTGTGTAAAAAGTTTCGGTAAAAATTATTTTAAATTTAGTTTTCTTATTATTCCGTTTGAATTTCCATTTTGAAGCGTCATGAACTCATGAATATGGTGCCATAGAAATCCTTTAATTATTAGAATATCATCAATTAAAAAGGATGCTCATTTTCCTTTGTTCAATCTGTCCAACAGAGTGATTATAGTGTTCGCCTTGATGAAATTTGTTCAGTTACGAGAAATCACTGCCCAGAGTCCAAGAAGTCCATGGAAGACGAGAGCTACACAGCCAGGGGAAGATTTCTTTCCTGAAAAGTTACGACGGAGTTCACAATAATAATCAAACTATCAAACAAGCTGCGCACAGGACATCAGAAAAAAAAATAAGCTGAATATCGTGATATTCTTCTTTGGAGTTGCCGGCATTTTATGTTAAAATAAATTAAACGAATGCTACCTGATCAAAGTGCCAATAAAATAAAATAGTTAAACAAAGATTCCAAAGAAAAGAAAAAAAAATCTATTTTTATGAGTTTGTTACTTCTTTTTCGTTCCTATCTGTTTTACCAGTGTCATTTATGGATAGCGTTGTTCCCAGCAGATAGGGTTAACATGCAAATGATCGCATCTGAGTAACAACCCACATAAAAAAACATTGCAGATTAGTGAAAGGCCTTGTTTGAGCACGGCAATTCAAGAATCAGGACCATTTGAGTCTTAGGAAAAAGGAAGAGACGAAGAGACCATTGTGTAAGTGAACTTGAAAATGAAAAAAGATCAGTTAACGGTTGCTGGAATTGATAACATGCAGTACGATTTTTCCAGTACGATTTTTCCAGCCTTTCAATGTTCGAATGTGGTTCAACAAGGAGCGTCACTTCTTTAAGCCGTGACCTTGATTGTCCAGTGCCGATGAAAAATACCTCAATGAGTATGTCGCAATCATTCATTTTTCGTAATCGCTGCTTTTCACCACTTATAGTAAAGAAAACTATTTTAGCATGTTCTCGAAAATCTCAAATAGTTTCCTGGTGACATTTCTTCAAACCATCCAACTCAGAAAGAAAATGCACATTTTACGAGTTGATCTCGCTGTTCGTTTCCGGTACCTCGGTTTCTTTCTCTCTGACTACATTTAAACACTGAGAAGGAAGCCTTTCAGATTTATCTTGCATACTAAGAAATAAATACCAGACATGTAAATGTTTCTGAGAAACAAGACAGAGCAAGGTCCAGAGTATTTCAAACTTTTTATCTCACATCTCCACAGAAGCAGATTACATTACTGTGCTAAAAGAGAATCAAGTCTTACACAAGCATTTTAAAGTTTCTATCTATATCTGGTGACTGCAAGGGTCTATCTTAATCTAAATTATCTTCTGGTGTACATCATAGGGATAATAAAGTCTACAGACGATCGTAGACTGGAAGCGGAGCGTAATCAGACTGAGCTAGTTCTCTTTTCCCAAACCCTGGTTTTTTAAAGATGGACGGTGGAAGGGCTACATCAGACATTGCTTCTCGTTTTCCCTTCCAGGAATTCGTCCTAGAGACGGACGGTGGAAGATCATAGACTGGAAGCGGAGCGTAATCAGACTGAGCTAGTTCTCTTTTCCCAAACCCTGGCTTTTTAAAGATGGACGGTGAGAGGGCTGCATCAGACATTGCTTCTCGTTTTCCTTTCCAGGAATTCGTCCTAGAGACGGACGGTGGAAGGGCTGCATCAGACAAAGTTATCCTTTTTCTAAATCCCTCGATTTCCAAGCTAGACTGCGGATTTAGTGCATCGTTGCCTTTTTTCTGCTCTCCAGAATACGCACTTTGTGGCCACATCAGTGATACTTGTAGTAGGATAAGCAGCAGAGCCATGCTAACAGATCAAGGGAAGACATTTATTACTGTGGTTTGATTTGCTTTCACAATGATGACTACCATTATCAAACAAGGTTTAAATATGCATTTAAACAGTTTGGTTTAACAGGCAATCATCCTGTCTGACACTGACATTTAAAATACCATCGCCATTTGTAGGCCTGCACAGCGCGAAAACCCTCGCACCTTTTTAGTTTACATTGAAGTCAATGTGATGTAGTCATGTGTCTCTTAGTATCAATGAACAGCAAGGAGACTAGGCTGGTTACATCCCATCCTGCTTTGCAAGCATTAATCACTAATGGTGAACCGCATTTCTTGAAGTTTTGTTGTGCTGTACAAAACATTTCTACCAATGTGTTGAAGATGTACAGTTGTCAAATTTTTAAGCTGAATAAGGCGACTCTATGAATAGAGTAGACAAGGAAAAAAAAAAAAAAAAGGAAACGAATAAAGGCTGGCTGGATCTTACATTTCAGGATACGTATATAAGGAAATACATACTAGCGAAAATTATGACAAACAAAGTGTAGCTCTTTTTTTCTGAAAGGAATGGAAGCGTGTACTTGGGTGTTACATATATAGTTTTGAAAGAAGTGTCACTGACGTATAGCAAATGGCCTACCTTAACAATCTAGTTGCTAAGTTGCCTTTTAAACAAGAAAGATCTACTCCGAGCCACGGTTACAATTGCATGTCCTCAAAAGCCTTTCTTCAGAGAATGTCCTTTCTAAGAATCCTTGTCTCGATCAGATCTATATATGGACCAGATCATGTTTCGCCTTACCGAAAGATAAATGAGATAAGGTTACTACTTTGTTGGCTTTGTACAGGAAATCTCTTGAATTTTAAAATATATGTTTTGATTAAGGGTTGAACAGTCTTTATGATGCCGAAAGGGAAATTAAAACGATAAACAGAAAGAACTTGACACTTCTATTTTCTTAAAACATAGATTAGAGCTCGCGTCAAACTAAACTTGGAGCAGATGAGGTGCATTTCGTTTCTCAGTCTCTCGTGTAAAAACTAATTTGGCAAAACTAACTAGGCAAAGGAATCTATCTGTAACCACATTTTCACAGCAAGTCCATGAAGTTTTAAGAGTTAAATGAAAAATAAAACTTCTTAATTCTGTATTTCCTATACCCTGATTTCTTCACTGTAATAAAAGGAAATAATTACCAAGAACACATTATATATATCATTCCTTCCTTCCTTATTTTCCCCACTCTGCGTGGACTGATCCAAATCTTTCCGTATCATAATTTTTACTTACGCTTTTGTTATGATGAACCAGGCACCATAAAAATCGGCTTACTATTAAGCCGAGCGCAAGCGGAATGGTGCTAAAAAGACCTCGAGTCTATTTTATTCCCCTACATTGGACTGAGTCTTCTATATTTGTGGCACGGGTTTGTCAAAAATCAAATTTCATGGTTTCGTATTTCTATTCGATAATCACTTTTTTAAGCTTAATTTAACTCTTCCTGTTTTTGTCCTTTTACCTAATAGAAATAGATGTATCATGCTCGCAAAATTTTGTCTACTGCTCTATTACAAAATGCTTTTGGGGTTAAAAAAATCATCGTTGTACGGGCAGTGTATATCATTATCGTCATGTAAAAATTATTCCATGAAATTGAACAAAATAGCGCCTTCTGAATGAGCGTCATCCCTGGGCTAAGCTAAGAGGGCACTTAACAAGATTAAATAGGATGGCTGTTGAAATATTCAGTCAGCTAATGACGTGCCATTGATAAAACCGTATCTATCTACGAGTTTTTTTTATCGACACTATAGCACATTTTACATAAAGTTTCTCTCCCCAACGATCGAAAATTTTCCCCAACATCAACTACCAAGTAACCATATTTGGACATTCTTCACAGTTTGCTGAAATACTTATTATTTGCAGATTATAGTTAAATCCAGGAAACTGTCGGCCACTCAATAATGAAGAATTTGCGTTTCTACCGGCTTCCAGTGGGAAATATATTATTTCGTTTCGACTTTAAACAATCGGAAAATGATAACAACTCAAAGAAAGAACTTGGACTAATAGATCGCAATGGTCTCTTTAATTTCCTTCCATTTTGGACAAAAGAAAGATGTTGTATTCGTAGTGATGAGATAAATGCAATCTTTTAAAAGAGTTTAGAGTAAAAACTATCGGATGAATGTTACATTATGGATGAAGTCAGTCTTAATTGAAACAGAACAATCGCTCTTTTGAATAATGAAAAAAAGAAAGTCATTCCTTGAGATCAACATTGAATCACATTTCCTACGTGATCTCTCGTACCCACACAAAGAGATGTTACAAGCGATCCCAGAAGTTTCTATTTCAGGCACAAACCATCAAATAAACTCATTTTACGCCTCCAAAATCACGGTTGCTTAGATGAATCCGACCTCTAATAGCTTTGTAATTTCTACTGTGGGATACACGTAAAGATTACGCATTGTTAAGTAGGAACTAATAAAAGATGTTTTTTCCTTTCATCCTTTTTTAGATTGTTCGTTGTTATTCATCAGCGATTTGTGGCAAATGGAATGGCAGAGCCAAATAAAAATAGTTCCGGAAATAAAAAAATAACGGGTGATAAAAAATGAGAATTTTCAGACACAGTCTTCACTAAGAGTAATCCGATATTCAAGTAAGTTAAGTTATGTAGTAAACCCTTTAAAGGAGAAGTTGTTAGGATTTTTTAAAACAACCGTTTTGACTCATCGGTGAGGATTCAGAAAAATAAAGGGGAGAACTCAGTTGTTAACTGACCTGAATGTACACAAATAAATAGTGATCAACAAAACCGTGACATTTTTCCAGCAAGATATGAAAATCATATCTTCTCTAAAATTTGCTGAGTTAAATTTTGAATTTTCCTTGTCATCCACCTAGGCATAATTTCCTTGGAAAAAGGTTTTGTTTCTGAAAAATATCACAAGATGGCTCCCAAAATCACAGACGAGGTCAATTATGTCTATTACTTATATTCTAGAAGCTTTTACCCGTCTTGAATTAGAGTGTAGCGTTTCTTTCCTGCTTCAGTCGCTGGAAACCGTCTGCAATCTCAGCCTTTGAGAGGGCTAAGGGTCTTGAAGAGTGATTTCTCCTGTTTGCTGTTATGATTCAACTGTAGTTAGTTATAGAGTTCTTTGCCTTGATAAGATCAGGTCGCCTTTTTTGATTTGGTCTGCTAATAACAGTTTGAATGCCCTGAATGAAGTGCGTTGATTGATATCATTTATTCTTTTATCAGAAGGACACAATATTAGCATTCGTATAAATTATATTTTGAAACTCAAAGGAAAAAGATCTGAAACCGCCGTTTTAACAAAGTTGGAAAGTTTTTTTAGGGTAATTCAAGTGTCACATTTTACGACTAAACTGAGTTAGCAATAAAACAAATAGACAGGGTTTTTTACGAACCAAAATAAACCTGAAACAGGCTTGTGCAGAAGGTGGCTACAGATGGTCCTGATTTCCTTTAAAAAAGAACAAAAACAAAATTAAACATAAACAATGGACTATAGACAACTGAAGTCTGGAGGAAACTTCTGTCATTTAAAGAAAAGTTTTGCGTTGTCTATTGTTTTTATCGTAATTTTTTATTTTCTTCATCTAGTGGAATCTATTTTCTTCATCTAGTGGCAGAGATGAGAGACGCTTCAACTGAATCTTGGTTTGATTTCTTTTTTAGACAAAAATCCGAGATAACATTAGATTGCCATTGTTTTCTTTTATTGCTTAGAAGCTCGTTATTAGATAATTTATGTCATCAGATCGCTTTAGGATAATATGTACCGGTCGATTAAGTTTCCAAAATGCACGAAGAATTGTTTATTGCATTATCAGAAAACATGTTACAAAGTCGTAATTACTGGCTTAATATGAAATCAAGATAACGTTTCAATATTTCCGATCGATAAAAATTTAATTTTTCCTCGTTTGAGAAACGTGTATGAAAGGAGCGAAAAATATACAGTTTGTGAAGCAGCAAATGCAACTTTCAACGCCTTTGTGAGTTGATGAAATATTCTATATTTTTCTATTCCAAGGCCTTCTTTTCGTTTTCTTTCTATTTCAGTTACTAAATCACGAGTTTTTTTTATTCGAATAACCGTACACGTGAAACATATGGGACTTAATGACTCAGTCGGGCTGATAGTTTCTAAAGAAACTGTTTGGCGCTGCGTCAGTGGGGGTAACGAAATAATTTGAATATATTGTTGTGGGCTTTTACCACTCGCTTGGACTAATTAACGAAAGGTACCAACATTTTATTCTCTCCTCTTCTATTGTTGCTACTACCTTCTACTACCACAGCTATTTCTCTTCTAACTTCAGCGAGGAGTACCCTCTCATTTAATGTAAAAATCACAGACAAGTTTGGGTTAGCTGACCGTAGGAATTTCCAAAACAGGATATTCGGTGTGGGTAAAACTCAAGGTAGTTTTACCAACCCAAACATGACCACCTAGCAAACTAGTTATCCTCAACCATAACAAGCGATTAAAATGTCTAGCACGGTAAGAACTGAGCCAAGTTCAAACACACACCAAAAATAAATGATCAAAACTATAGATCTACCAACTGATCACAACGTAGACGCAAAAAGGCGAGACTCGTCAAAACAAAAGGTAAACCTAAAAATACTCGAAATATCAATCCTTGAATTTGCTCTACAACAATATCAACAAAGTTGAAATGGTAAATTGGCCACCGTTACGGTTATAAAAGCTGACGTTTCGAGCGTTAGCCCTTCGTCGGAGCGAATAGAGGAATTGTGGGTTGTGTGCTTTAAAAGTCAGAAAATGGAGCTACGTGATTGGTGGGAACATGGCAACGAGAAAAACACGAATAAATTAGTGGAATGAAAAGCGTTCGTTGATTCCTGTGGGATTTTGACTGCTGGTTTGAAAGATGAGCCTTTGTTCAAATGTTTTGCGGCTTTCCGTGCTACCTAAGTGTAAGGAAAGACCGCAGATTGCCATATGTCCTTAGAATGATTGGGTAAATTAAAATGTCTAGCGACTGGTTTCGATGTATCCTTGTCATTCCTCTCCAGGTCGCGAAGGTGTTCTCGGAATCGGTCACCTAGTCTTCTGCCTGTTTCGCCGATGTAAATCTTTTTTCAATGAGTGCAAGTTATGCAATAGATTACATTGGCGGAGGTGCACGTGTTGCCATTTCCCACCAATCACGTAGCTCCATTTTCTGCCTTTAAAAGCACACACAACCCACAATTTCTCTATTCGCTCCGACGAACGGCTAACGCTCGAAACGTCAGCTTTGATAACCGTAACGGTGGCCAATTTACCATTTGAACTTTGTTGATATATTCAAATTATTTAATGAGTATTCGTTGAGTTTCTGGCATTATTCAAATGAATTATGAAACACAGTATCACTTAAGAAACGCGACTAAATGCGAGCCATGTCACTTCCCTTAAGAATCCCTCATCACGACTTAGTTATTACAGGCACGAATATGTATTAAGCTGGATTATATACATGATAACCCGGTACTTTGTACCTCGCTGTTCCCCAATAGTCAAACCACTTTGGCATGTAGCTTGTAGCCTGAGTTTCAACTCCAGACAATTGCTTATCAGCAAAAAGCAAGAGTCATTTAGATTTGTTCCAGAAAAATGAATTCATTATTGACAGTTAAGTGACCAAGACTCAAAACATACTGGAGAAATTAAAGCTGGTTAAGTCAGTCGTATGTTTTACAGGGGGAGGGTTGATCGGTCCTGCGGATCGTCTTCGAACTGTGTTATGTACCAAAGAATCTTGCACACACAACTTGAATTCGACAATTGACAGGCAGCTTTTATTAATTTACTACGTTTCGTCTTCACTTTGAGTTTTGTAAAAACGAAAAGCTATTAGTTCACTACCCAATGCATCTTGGTGTTTTGTTCGTCAGTCCCACATCCGTTCTAGTAATAGTATTCGCGATCTAGAGATGTTTCACCAAACACTTCCTAAAAAGTTTCATCTGCAATCAAAAACCTTTTAAATGTGACAAAGCTTACTGTCGGATCTTCCGTTTTTCGGAAAGAAATCTTAACAAAGCCATCGCTCTGCGGCAACTGATCCATTCTCACAGCTGCCAAATTCCCAAGCATTGATGGAAAATTTGGTTTGGGGTCATTGTTGAATCTCAGATTATTTCCAAAAGTGCTAGCCTGCATTGCTTCTTTGGCTAATCTATCCTCTTTCAGCTAAACATGTTCAACCCCCTAAGATTTGATAAGAGTTAATGCTAACTTACAAAGAAAACGAAATAAAAATAAGTTTTTATCCTCAAGATTCTAATTATAGAACAAACTCGGCATTCGAACCAAGGCAAACTAGATCAGCTTAACTGTACCATGTGATTTCATGTTTATATAACTTTAGCTTGAAGCTTAGTTGGACACAAATATCTTGTGTATTCATTCGTCACAATATCAGCTAATTTTTTTGAAATTGTTCAACGGCAAAGAAACAAGTTACAATGGTAAATAATAATATGTAGATCTTTTTGGGCAGACATAACGTCGTTGATGGACTCCAATGGCGTTTGTAAAGTTAAGTCTACAGTCATGTGCGAGGTCTAAATAGACTGCGAATTTTTTTGGGTCCAGTTTTCGAACCTCCTCGGAAAATTTGAAAACTCGTTGTTCCCTTTACAATTAAAGATGTGTTAATGGCGGAAAATAAGTCAAAATATAAGTGGGCGTTAATTAAGCGCCACTTGACAGGGACGTATATTGAAAGACTCAAAGGAGCGAGATCTTATCTACAGCGCCTTTGCGTATTTTCGTTATCGACTAATTTTGCTACTGTTTCCATTTCCTTCGCACAGACCACAGATGTCATTCTTGTACATACATTTACGATCAAGAATAAAAGACCATAGGCGCTGGACTCGTAAACGATGGACATACGGATTTTAGAGCATAATCAAAAAAGAAATTCAAAATTTTAGCTGGTAGTTATAATCTCCTTCCTTAAAACCTGGACAATTGTCAATATATTCATTCTACGCTGTCTTCTCGATCGAAATTATGGATGAATTTTAAGTGCAAAGATTTTAAAACACCCGCGACTAAAGCCTTTAAAGTGAAAGGTGAAAAAAAAAAAAAAAAGAACGGAAAGCCAAAATAAAAAAAAATATTATTAGTATTAATAAATTAGTTTTAACGCTAGTATTTCAGGGTTTCCTCAATTTAAAAGAAATTTTCTGTAACGTTAAAACAAAGACACGAAACATCGTTACTTTCCTCAGATCACCTCTGTCCATTAAAAGTTTTGTCTTCCCGTTATTTCAGTCTGTTCGTCCGTCTGGCTGTTTCTTGTCTGTCTATCCGCCCATCCATCAGACTGCATGTCCGACCGAGCCTTCCGTCGTTCTGTTTATACTCGTTTGTCTTCTAAATCAATGCAAACAGCAGAACGTTAGGTGTTTAATTCCGTCGTTCAAAGTCTGAGAACAGAACCTTTTTGTCCAGTAAATAGTGTGTTTTAAGTTGTGTTGCCGGTAGCGGAGATTGAGGATGGTGGGTATGGCGTTGTATCCGAGCGCTTTCAAATCTTTCCAATCAGTGTCTTTCTGCATCTCTTTTTATTTTCTTCGAGAAATTCAACTCTATTGTTAACTCAAAGGATGTTATTTACAGTCTTTTAATCCGAGTTTTGACAACATAAGTCAAACTTTCTCTCCTTAGAGTGACAACAATGGATAGGAATTAGAAACCGTCCTTATAAAAACACGCAGCAGTGCTTATCAAACGACGTAGTATGAAAAAGGGGGATTAATTTTTTCCTTTTGCTAAGAGCAACTTCCATTACCAAGGTAAGATGAACACAATAATTCTAGCCCTTGAAGGTTTGATTCTGGTAACTTCCTTATTCCGAGCAGTGGATGGTTTTTCACCCTACATGACAAAGCCGAAGGGTGATGTAAGTGGCCTGGATGGTCGTCATATAAAGGTAAAGAATGAACTAATAACAATTGTAGTTCAAACATTAACTACGAATGACTAAATGCAATCAAGGATCGACCTTAAAATTTGCGTAAGCTAAAGTATTGGTTAACCAATGTGCTGAGCATTTTAAACGATAACGGCGAAGTAGTGAGGCCCAACAGAACCTTTGGAATCACCGGCTATCAAACATTAAGTAGCTCAAGGCCACCTTAGGCTGTAACGTATTCATTGTGGCATATATTCACAGAAATTCTTTTAACAATGGTTATTGCGTAAATATTTCGTGGCGTAGGTCCTGTTTTAAAGCAAATTTTAGGCGCCAACTCAAGCCTCTTTTCTTGGCTATTTGTAGTAAATATCTATTATAACTATTATTATAATATTATTACTATTTGTAAGTAAATAATGTAGGTACGCTTGAGTGTACTTTTTTCCGAAGACATCGCTATTTCAGTGCAAGGAAAATCCCGCAAAGACTTACAGGAGGGTCTCAGTGGGGC